CATTTATCTCTAACTGATAGTGAAGCATTTTTTAAAAGTAGGCCTAAAGTGTCCTGAATCTGAATATACATGAGGAAAGGCTGCTTGCATATGTTTTACCCGGTGATTTTGGGCCAGTACCACTGGGTATTGCTGTCTCTCAGTCTTGTGTGCTTCCTTAGACCTTATGCTTTTGGCAGTCCTGAAGCCAACATGCTCTGCGATCCCCCAGTGTGGTGCTGGTGGTACTTAGTCATCTGCCTTTTGCAGGTTTCCTTTTTCTGGCATAGAAACTGCCCCTGAAGTGTGGTAGGTCCTTTCAAGCTACATGTTATTGCAATTTTAGAGTGACTAGAAATCTGAGAATATGGTAGCTTGATTATACTGAGTGTGTTTTGGAGGTGTTCTGAGCATTCACCTTAAAACTTATCGCTTCCTTGGCAGTGCATATTGCATTACTTACTTTCTTTAAATTTGTAGATACAGTGGTGATTTTTTTTTTATTTCTGTTTGTTTGCTGTATTATAGTAGTAGCTGTTTTCAGAGATGAGGACCTTTGATGTTGTGCAGATACCTAGGAAGAGACATAAGCTTTTAACTTCTGCTTTTTCCTAGTGCAGTACTTAAAGGAGTTATGAGGAAATAGGCTATCTGCCCTGCAGATACCTATGCCTTTCTTCCAGATGCTCTAGAGAAGTGCTGGTCCAGAGGATTCTCCTTTTTCAGAGTCCACCCCCAGGCCAAGAGTCTGGCAGCAGCAGAAGCGATAGGGATGTGTTTTTTCTAAGAATTCTCAACTGAATTATCTGTTTTAGAAAGGGAGTGTTTCTGACTTCACATCAACTGCAAAGTCTTTTCAGATACTATCTTTTAGGGGGCGTGTTTTGTTACTTTGTCCTTTAATCAGAAAAGTGTTTGTTTATAAGTCAGTCAAATATTAACAAATATTACTGGATATAGTGATGATTGGGCTAAACTTATAACTGAAGGCAACAGTGCAGTAAAGACAACTCTTCAGCTTTTTCAGACTGGGCCTCAACTTTTTTGGAGTTCCTATTAAAACTCCAGCTAAATCTATCCTGAACTGAAAAAATTCCCCTGTGAAATCTAATTTACAAGGTCCTACCCAGAATGTTTCAGGCATGCACTGAAGACTACCACACCGCAAATGCACTAAGTTGAAGTGAACTGTATGGTCTGGTGCTGCTCAGTGCCACCAAGCAGCCCCAAATATGAGCAGGAACCCCTTGTGTTAGGTGCTGTACAGACACAGAATTTTAAAATGGGATTACAAGCTAGGAGAAAACACTGTCCGATGGACAGCAGGGCCACAGGGCTGTGCGCATCAGCACCAGGTTACGTGGAAAGGAGGAATTATAAGGGACAGAACATGTAGCGGACTGCCACATCCCCTTTGAGGAAAGAAGAAAATCATGATACCACTCTTTGTGAAGACAGACCATTGTAGATATGGCCTAGAGTATTGTCTGCTGTGCTTGCAGCCCCACAAATGTGGATTGAGTCCTTATCTGTTTCTCTTACATTGTCCTCTGATGAAATCACTTGTTAGTTGAGCATTGTACGTGGTATCTGTTTTGGGATGCAGACCTGATTGGTGTTGCAGCATGGGAATCTGGTCATGACAGTTCATGGTATCGTAACTCATGTTTGGGGCAAACTGTTCTGTATAAATTTTAAAGACTCAGCGTTATGTGAAACTTAACTCTGTTCTGTTGGGAGCCAGCCACGTTTGAGTAGTTCCTTAAATGCTGCCTATCCCATCCCCTACAGGTGATTGCTTCTTCAGCTCAGGCGTTTTCTGGCCCTCCTTGGATTATTGTTCTGGACATGATGAAAAAGTGTCTAAAGAAGCAAAAGCACCTTCATTTATTTATTTGGCCTGAAGAGTGCTCATGCAAGTATTTGAGCTGACACAACCAAAGGAGTGGTTAAAAACCTTGGGAGTGTGGAAGTGGTAGAAAGTAGCAGGCACTTCTCCTAGGAGATATTGACGGTGTGCCAGGATCATGGAGTGGTGGAGCATAAGACAAGAGGGCAGATGACTTGTGAACTGCTTCCAGCTCTGTTGTCTATACAGTGTCTTCCCTCAACTGGAGCCATCTGTTGAATTACCAACAGTGTTCAAATAGACTTTCCCAAGGCATTTCCCATCCCAGTGCCACTGGGACATCCAACCTGTGACTCTCCCCAGGAGAGACTCCTCTCTGTCTCGTCTTTGGGGTAGCAGTAGGATGTTTTGTGGTGTGCTTGCTCGCAGCCGATTCACAGTATTTGAAGATAATACAGTTGTCCTGCTAGCTACGACATGGTGCCATGGTGGTTTGAAGACGAAGAAGCTTGCCTTTCCACACTGCAGTTGTTTGTTTGTCATGGGCAACATGGGTTTGTTTTTGGGCAACAGAAAGTAGAGCAGTGGCAGTGCTGCAGGCTGTAAGGAGGAACGGCTATAGGGACAACAGCTTTGACCAATGTGATGCAGGACATGCAGAGGACCATCAGCCTTATATGGCCATTTCTGGAGGGCTGCAGCAAGAGCATTTCTGATGCATGTTTCTGAAACCTTTGGGTAATCTGTAATCCAGGAAGTAAAGCCAAACCCTCCTCTTTGGGGGGCAAGCCTCTTCCAGAGCATCACTGTCTCTGAGGAGGTACTTGCCAGGTCATGTATTTGGCAGTATTCACATAGACCCTGGACCCTATTACTCATGGAAGGGACAGAAACACAGCCTGGTGTCACCTTCAGTATGGTGATATGTGCGCTCGCCACCCAAGCTGTTGTGTGTACGTAATCCCATGGGGACGGTGAGTGTCTGCCTGAGGAAGCACAGACATGGGAGCTGTGCTTCTCTTTTCATGTACAGTAGAGCTGGAAAAGTGTGGTTTGTCCTCTGTTGTTCTGGGAAATTCACTTGATGAATTTAAATTCAGCTCACTGTTGCAGTCTACAGAAAGAAAGGCTAACTAGTTCTTTAATCTTTGGAGCTGCCTTTTGCACTGTATGCTTAGAGCCATGTGCTGTCCTTAACCTGTGTGGACCCTGAACCCTTGTCTGCAGTGTGAGTTTGTTTGTGAAAGAGCGTGTTGGCACAGGAAGGGTCTTAGCATCAGAGGGAAGGCTTTTGGAGAAACAGCCACGTACAATTGCAAATTTATGTTTGAAAACTTAAAAGTATTTTCATACAGCTAGTAAAAAATGTTGGTTTATCAATATCAACTTTTATCTTTGTGGAGGCCTGAAGTCCACAATAGAATTTTGCAAACTGTATCACCAAATAGCTGCTGGCTTGCAAAGATTATTTTGTGATTTATTTGTAAGTCTGCAGAGTTAAAACAAGGACTTTTTTTTTCCCCCTTGATTTTCTCTCAAACCTTTGCACCTATGGCTTTTGTGGTAACTAGAGAGCAGTGGTACTTAACACTAGGTGGCTGTCTAACAAGTGATTTCTTGATTCAAGGCTCCTAAAGCAAATCAGCACTGGCAGCACCACTTTGTGTGTTTGTGCATGTTACCTTTCTTTTGTAGCTGAAGGGAAGGTGAGCTAGTGCCTAATTACAGAAAATGACAGCAATATAATACGTGAACAGTCATGGCTGCTGGAGACGAAAGCACGCCACAACGCTGCCTCGCAGAGGACCTAGCAAAACTAGACCCTTGAATGGGCTTGTTTCTTCTCTACTGAGAAGACTGGATTAAAAGTAAAACCCAGACATGAGACCCTTTCCAGTTAACTGTCCCTTATGAGGGTTTTACTGGATCTTAAATTATGATATGTTTCATGTTTGTTTGCATTTGGTTTTGTTTGCAGGCCACAAACCAGTGCTGTGCCTTCCTCATTGGAACACCAGAGGCTGTTCTCGGGACTAGCTCCCTCACAGAGCTGGCTCACAGCACGCGCAGAGGGTTTCTGATGCTCCTTGAGATCACTGCATTGTTGTTCTGGGCTGCTTGTGAGCTCAGGCCCTGTTGTGTCTGCAGCTGTAGATTTGGTGCCTTCTCTAGGGGCTTGCAGCTGGAATGTCAGGAGAGGCAGCTGGTGATTTTGCTACCCAGAAGATGAACTTTTGTCACTCCCACATGAAGAATTGCTAGGACAAGGCTTGCTATGACACTGTTTTCTGAACTCATCAGTCAGTGTCAAGTCTTGTACAGATGTGATAGCTAAAGGAAACCCAAGCACCTCTACTTCTTAAGAAAGGTTGAGGACAACCTCTTTGACCAAAGCTTGTTAAGAGACTTTGAACAGCTTGGCCGGACACAAACACCTATAAATACTCTGAACCTGCTCCTCAGGTGCAATGGAGCTCTAACTGCGTGATTTGGGATGCAGCAAGAGAGGTGCTTCGTGGTTTGGGACAGAGCAGGAGGCTGTGTGATTCCCTTGAGATGGGACTTAGAACTGCCTCAGGACTGCTTCTGGCTGGGCCAGCTGCAACTGTCCCCTGGGGTCAATGCTGCTGGATTGCAGCAGAGCCATGTACTGTTCCCATTTCCCTTTCTTCTTGCCTCTGGCATTTCTGATTTGGAGCTCATAGCTGCAGGGTAGAGTTGGCTTCACTGGCTATCTGTCATCCTGGAATTTCCCTGTATGGCAGGAATTGCAGCCTCCCAGCTGGCGTCATCTACTTACTCTGTCCCCATACCCATGCCGTTCACATTTTTAATGGACTGGCACCAACAGCACTTCTTCCAGCCTGGGAAGTCTGGTTCCATCTGGGAAGTAGCAGACCTTGTGATACTGATTTGAGGGTAGATGAGCACAAGAAGACCATCTGTGTTTTAAACCATAGGGTGTTTGGAGCAGGGTAGATTTGCTAAGCGTGATGGTAGTGCCTTCTTATCTCTTTGGAGAATAGTGGCTGGGATGCGGGCTGGAGATCATGTGGAGGAAGACAGACTTGTCAAGCCTCTAGTGTCCTGTGAGGTTTGCTTACCTGGCTTTTGCCTCTGAGTGAGTATCTCCTACATTTGCAGTGAAGGGCCACAGCTTCCTTCCGGCACCATGAGGCCATCAGATGGGAACAACTGGTCAGTTCTCTCTGAATCCTAACTGCCTCTGGTGAGGAGACAGTGCAGCGATGCTAGCTCTGCACCCAGGCTTTTGACAGAATTTCAAATTCGAAATGTTGAGCCTGGCACCAGGACATCTTCCCTACCGCCTTCCCTGGTGAAGGATTGCGCACATGGGGCCAGACAGCAATTGAGAAATTAAGAGAGGAGTACAAGGCTGGGAAGGGTGGTGATAGTGGCTTTTGAGCTGTCTGCGGCTAATTTATCACTGATATCTGTTATTTCTAAAACATTGCATAGCAAACTGGGTATGCGTTGACAACTGAGCTAGAGTAACTAACTAATCAGTGAATCCTGTCATGCTTCCATTTCAAAGTTGTGTTTTAATAATTGTATCCTTTAACTTCTCATTGCTGAAGAGTTGAACTGAGCTGTGTACCAGGGTTTAGCTAATTTTCCTCACTGCTTTGCCTGTCCACCTCTCATTCTCCTTCCTACTCCCATGGAAAAATCTTTGCCTTGTTTGGAAGCCCTCGGGCTGGGGACATTTTCTCAAATGCATGTTGGCAAGCACAGAAGCAGACTGGAGACAGGAAAGTGGGTGTAGGACTTCAGCCTACTCAGCCTGGGTTAGGCCAAGCAGGCAGGAAATAGAGACACATTATATTGAACAACTGTAGTAAAAGTGTATCTTTGGGTACCTCCTGTTTGTTTAGCTATTTTCCAGAGTTTTACCACTGTAGATTCATCATCCTTTACCAGGACAGCATGTATGACAGTGTTGACTGGTGCCCATGGAAGACAGGTAGATCTGGTACAGTATATGTGGAAAGAGGATTTGCTTTTAAATAGGGAGTTTGAAGTCCCAGGAATTCCTGTGCCAAATTTTGAACTTTTTTATTTACTGTTGTATCTTCTGAGAATGTGAAGATGAGGGTGAAGAAGCACAATGTGGACTTTAAAAAAAAAAATAAAAAATAAATAAGTTTGAATGAAACTTCCAAAGTGTCTTAGTGGTTTATGGACATTAATCTTATTTGGAGATTGCTGGAATTTGTGAATTCAAGGCTTAAATACATGTTTGCCAATCTGCCCATCTGTTGCCTTTTCAACTCCTGACTTATCACTGTATGAGAATTCAGCCCCTTGGTTAACTTCTACCTTGTGTTTGTTTGTTTGTTTGTTTTCCCTCTTCAGACAAGTGAGAGAGAGACTAAAGAAGCAAGTTGTTGAGATGAAAGAGAAATTTCCAGGCTTCAGACCAGGACTCGCAATTTTGCAGGTATTGTTTTCTTTAATGACAATTGCAGAAAATCTGTGTTGCTTTGCAACGGTCACAGCTGACTGAGCTCTATCAAAGCTGCCTTGTAATGCTAACATTTTATAAGGGATAGAAGAGCAGAGGATGGTAACACAGTTCTGTGACATCTTTTCTCCAAGTACTGGGGCCCAGAAACCTTTTTGGGTTTTGAGAGTTGTGGTGGGGTTTTTTTTCCTTTCATCAGACCCTGCAGTTCTCTGAGCATTATGTTTGTGAAACAGTGAAAGGCAGCTTCTTGTCTATTAAGAGGAAGCAGTGCTTGTAGACTCTATTCCAAGTCTATGTATTTGTGCCAGCCCCAAAGCCTGTCAGCTTTCAGAGGTGTGTTTGTACCAGAAATTTCTGAAATTTCAGAAGTTTGAAATGGGGTGTTTGTTAAGGAATTTGGTCTGCTGTTACATCAGAACATGAAGAGAGAAGGGGAGCGGGGAGCGTTTTTGGGGGGGGGACGGGGACAGCCAAAACCAAGTCTCTTGGCCAAGAGACTTGCAGAATTAAGGTGATTTTTTTCCTCACAGCTATAAAAAATGGAAACTCTTTGTGCTTAGATCAGAAGGTGACTAGCAGTAGCAAGTGTCATGTAACAGGAAGGAAATGTGTGGCCACAAAGGATTGATGGACAGTCAGTGGCTGCTTAGAGAAGTGGTTTCTGTCCTTATTCAGTATTGTGGGCTTCTGAAGAGCTCTTGGTGCCTGTCTCTGGATTCCAGTGTTAAGACCGCTATAGCACACAAAGACCATGCTCCTCTTCAGTGCCAGGAACAAATTTGTTTGGGGTTTGGTTTTTTTTTCTGGTTTTCTTTTACATAAGCTTTAAGAAGATCTTCACAGAAGGCATTCTTCAAGTGTTTAGGAGGAAAGTCTTTTATATAAAATGTAGTAAGAGGTGCTTTGATGGAAGTTGCCGAACTGCTGATTTTGTAAACTGTCTTCAAAAATAGATGTCTTGTAGTGTTACTGGATGTGCTGGTTCTGGCAGGGATGGGGTTAATTCCCCCCCGGAGCCGGCAGGGGGCGGGCATTCCATCCCAGTATGTCCCATCTGGTTTCTTTACAGGCAAGATGGGAGTATTAAAGGGGGACATGCAGGGTTCCAATATCCCCTTTTTAATTAGTCTTTGAATCTCAGGCTTCAATCCTTGCCTCCCTTCCATCGGCAGAGGGTACTGTTTTATTCTTACTGGTATTTCTGGGTTCTTTATTGTTACCGAGAAAGGTTCAATATCTAATTTCCCGATAGTCTCTGGAGTGTACCATACTTCGGGGTTTTTTGTTTTGGTTTGGGTTTGGTTTTTTTTTTTTTTTTTTTGCTTGGCTGTGTTCTCTTCAATCCTGGGTTGTCTCAGAGTCCTTTACAACCTGCTTGCTCTTTGGCTTTCTGACACCTTTGTAAGCTACCAGTCTGGGCTTGGAGTTCATCTCCTAATACTGATGTTCTCAGCTGTCTGTTTTTCAGTTAAATCAGAACCATTAGCTGTTTCTGATGTGTAGCACCTCACATGATATGTGCTGTTTTTTTAGGAGGTGTCTGGCATCCTCTGAGCAAAAAGATTAAGTCAATTAATCTTTATTTTTTTGTCCTGTAGTCAGGAATGTACTCTTTTGCACAATATATGTGGTCTGTTTGCAGATGTCTCCTGATGCCCAGTTTCTTTCTTCTTTTCCACCCTGTATGAAGCTTACCTTTCCCTAAACCTAGCAGTCTTTAAAGGGGAGACAGCCCCTTTGTCTAACCCTAGGGAGGAAGAACAAGTGTATGCTGGCTGATCGGGCAGTGCAAGCACCCCAGCAGCTTGTAATCTGTGTGACAACCAGGGATAGTTACCAAGTATCAGCAAGAATTTGCTTATCAGCTTTTGCTTATTTGTCCCTCATTTTCTTGTGGTTACAAGGAGTGTTACCTTTAACAAAACATGCTGGATGTTGCAAGCAGTCTTCTGAAATGCAGTTGGACTGTAATCACCCAGTACTGCCAAAAACTTACAGGCATTTGTTCCACTTGCTGCTTTCTCTTTGTGTATCACTTTGTTCTTGTTTTGTTGGATTTTCTTCGGCAGGAAAAATCTCAAGATACAAAACAGCAGTAGAAGTCGTCTCTCCATCAAGGCACATACATATATGTGCATAAAATTAAAGATTCCTGGGTGTCAAAGAGGCCCAGCTTTTCTGAAAGCCTTAATCAGATAATTGGATGTTATTAGCACCTGCTGATCATGTTAATTAGCTAGAGATTTAACTTTCTCAGATGAGATGGCAGGCAGTATTTTTTGCTTTGGAGAGCACTGTTTTTACTAAGGTTTTTCAACAGGTGTAAATACTGTTTATGCAGGATATTAGACAACTTGTGTTTAGCTGCCTCTTACTCAAAAGAACACTTCCCTGTTAGCTCCAGCTACTTATAGCCTCTAGCAGAGTGTTTTACAGTTATTCAAGAATACCTCTGTCTCCTTGGTGTAGCTCAAAGGAAGCCAAGGAAGCGAAGGGTTAAGCCCACCTCAGCCTGTCACTGGGTCTGTATTCTGCAGTTGTGACTCAACTGTCTTTTCATCCTTAGGTTGGAAATCGGGATGATTCGAACCTCTACATTAATATGAAGCTGAAGGCTGCTGCTGAGGTAATGCCCAAAATCTTAACGTTTCTTTTTACCTTCCTACAGTAAGTCAAATCTGAATATGAAAAAAACAGATGCAAATCAAATAGTTTTGTCTAAGCTTTGCCGTACTGGAGAAACAAATGCTGGCCTGAATTCCTTGTTATAAGGAAGTAGTATAGGTGTGTAACTTGATACTTGGCCAAGTGGGTTACTCTGGTAACAACAGCCAACAGTGGGTTGGTGCCACTTTTTGTGTGATGTCTCCTAGATTACATGTGTCTGAAGTGCCGATGCTCTGTCTTTCCTGACCTGTGGCCATACACTTATCTTCCCTGAATGTCTTGTACCTGCAGTTGCGTTTCATCTGGCACTGAGTGGTATACTACATGCTACTGCAGCACTGGGAACATAGATGAGTCCCTGTTTCCCTCGGTGATAGCTGGCATCTTCTCTGTTGGCATTTCAAGGCAGTATGCTGTCAAGCCAAGGTGGCGTTGTTCATGTCAAAAGCTGTAAAGGACAGTTGAAGTATGGACCAATCTAAGTTGGCAAAGCACTGATCTTTCATTGATGGTATTTCCAAATAATAGGACTGTAGCCACAGGAACAGGAGATAGACCTGGGAAGTGTGACAGAATGTAGCTATGGCTGGGTTGGACTGAGAGAATAGCCAGATCACTTTCTGATGTCAATTCAGAAATGAGATAATTTGTTGGTATTCTCATTTGCAGATTGGGATCAGTGCCAATCACATAAAACTGCCAAACACAGCAACAGAAGCTGACGTAAGTAATACAGCCAATCATGAAAAAATACATAATTTGGGGTTTGAGCTCAAGAGATGAACTTAAGTTTTCCCTGTTATTTTATAAAAAAAGACTGCTTACCCATAAGGTATTAACTCATGAAAAAAGAACTGGAACCTGCTGAGGTTTTTTTTTATTTTTAAAAGAAAACTAAAACACTACAATGTAAAATTTAGAGACGTACAAGGTATTTTTCTAAAAATAAAAATTTGAGTCACTAATACTCTTAAGTGGAAAAACTAAATATACTGTGTGTGTCTGTTAATCCAGATAGGTTTGTGCTTTTTCCTTTGCATCAGTTGTATCTCAGTTTATCGGCCATTAGGTTTTTGGTCTTTACTTGTAGGTCCTTAAGTGCATTGCCTCTTTGAATGGAGACCCTGCTGTTCATGGCTTTATAGTGCAGCTACCACTTGACTCTGATAAACCCATCAATACAGAGAAAATAACCAATGCTGTTGCACCTGAGAAGGATGTAGATGGGTAAACTGACTTCACCCCTGGAGAGCATGACAGCTACTCCAGAAAGAAACTTTTTTTTTTCTTTTTTCTTTTGAATTGTGATCATGAGGCTTGGATTCTTACTTGGCCTTTATTCTTTCAAAATACAGCTTAAGTAGCATCAATGCTGGGAAACTGTCTAGAGGGGACCTTGGAGACTGCTTTATTCCCTGTACGCCAAAAGGATGCATGGAACTTATCAGGCAGACAGGTAAGGAGGTTTTCATCCATTATTCATAAGTGCAGCAGGCTTCAATAAGAAGAGAAATTATGCACCTTGCAAGGCTATGCTTCGCATTGAAACTTTTGTCAAGATGCCACATTTCATCTCTGCCTTTTCGGATAGGATAAGACCTAGTTTTAAAGTGGTCCTCCCTCCCTCCCAGCTCCAGTTCCTTATTGCACACAACCCAGAAGAAAACTAGTATCCTGAAGTAACAGAGCCAGACTTAAACTGACCAAAAGACTCCAGAGCCATTTGAGTTAGTTTGTACTGGAATGCACAATGACCTATTTTTACTTTCTCCTAACTTTCTGTGGTGCAGGCGTCCAGGTTGCAGGGAAAAGAGCTGTAGTGGTTGGTCGCAGTAAGATCGTTGGTGCTCCCATGCATGACCTGCTGCTCTGGAATCACGCAACGGTAACCACTTGCCATTCAAAGACCTCAACACTGGCAGAGGAGGTAAGGACAGGATTGATGCATGAGGCTCTAGTTATCTGCTGGACGCCAGTGCTGCCAGCTGCACATTGCTACTCTAAGTTGTTGGGTCTGGCTTATCTTTCATCTGAAACAGTTTTCTAGTCCTGTTCATTGGATGGTTGTGTAAATACTTCTGCTGGAATAGGATGCTGATTATTTTTGGTGTTTAATTACAACAATGAAATTATTATTTTTGTTTTCTTTGGTCAAGTGCTGAGAATTTAGTCATCCCTTCCTAATCTCCAAGTAGTGGCCCGCAAGATGGGATATGTTTTTGTTTTTTGCTGAAATGGCCAGGTGGTCTTTTGCTTTAATGGCTGGGAAATGCTAGACCAAATGTTTTCTCCAGGTTATTTTTTTTCCAGTCTTATTTTCTGTGACTGGGAGTTGGTGCCATTTTCCTCTTAAGCAGTGAGAGTGACAGAAATAGCGTGTTGCTCTGCTGCCACCTACTTGGATTTTGTAGAGCAATCAACACTGCCAGGCTCTGTAGGCAAGTATTAAAGCTGAAAAGAGGGTAGGTGTATTTGAATATAACTCACAAGGAAGATCAGAAACACTGCAATGCTTCATGCTGTTAAGTTGCTGTTCGATAAGACTGTCATTAGGTTGATTAACAATTGAAGTGCTAATTCTTAGTGAAATCTTAAAAATGGTTTATCTCCCTTGAAGATTAAAAGAGAAATATTCCAAGGGATAGCAGCTTCCTAAGCAAACATGAATGAAGCAGTACAAGAACTAACAACACACTTCAGTCAGTGTCTCTATCACCAGCTTTGTGACCAGATCTGTCAAATTTACTGAGCGCTGTCTGAATGAATATTAGTGCTGAATTACAATCAGTTTTCCATGGAGTTGTACATTGCACAGTCCTGGACTTAAAAACTACAAGGCAGTTCTGCTATAAGTGAAGTGCAGCTTAGAGTTCTGTGCAGGGGTTGTTCTTGGCTGCCATCCGATAAGTGCTGGGTATATTTCTAACATTGAAAAGAGCAGCTGAATATGCAGGGATATTTGAAGGGAGGAGGATAAGAATATGCAGAAGGCTTTAATTTTATCTAAAATAGTCTGTGTGATCCACTTGGGAATCATGGAGGAGTTCAAAGGAGGTTGTGAAGTGTTGACTAGCAACAGTTTAGGGTAGGAGTGTGAAAATAGGCCATAATTTCTGGCTGCAGGAATTTGTGCTTGCCAAGGAACTGCTAGCTACCTTTAACTGCTGACGATGCCCTTCCATCCCTCCGATGGCAGTGGGTGAGCACACAGTTTCAATGCGATTGAAGCTGATCTAAGTTGCTGCTGAAGCAGCTCTGCGTTTTTTCCACTGCCAGTATAATAGAGTTGTTTTGTTTGGCTTTTTTTATAGGTTGGTAAAGCCGATATCCTGGTGGTTGCAGCTGGTAAAGCTGAAATGGTAAAAGGTGAATGGATCAAACCTGGTGCAATCGTAATAGACTGTGGAATTAACCATGTGCCAGGTGCGTGGGTAATGTATAAAGAGTGGGAATCTGTTTATTTGTATATAAATGCAGTTGCTAAGTAAGTACATGGATACTGTTTCCTTGGTGTTTCTAGTCAATGCGGACTTCTTTCTCTTTTAAGTCTATCTTAGGTAATGATGGCAACCTCTGAAGATGCCAGAATAAAAAAAAGGTTGGTCTGAAGTACTGTCCTAAAGCAGATCAGTGGCAGTTTTGTTTCTGCCTTCAATGAGGCTGATCAGTAGAGGAAAGAGGAGGCCTAGGAAATGTTACAACAGAATATCCATGTAATTTGCCGCAACTGTATAGTGAAGTCTTGCTGCTGTTGTCACTTGTGAGCATGCAGCTTTGCTGTCATTGCTTTGCAGTTAGATCTGATTAAGCTGTTCTGTTTGAAATACACAAATGGCAAGCAGTCTCTTAAAATAGCTGTGGATTTGTTGAATCACAACATTAACTTCTTAGGCTTGAATGGCTGTTGTCTTGAAACAAAGCATCTCCTGCAAGAGAGTTGGTGACAGTGGCTCTGGCACAGAATAAAGTGCTTGAACGTAATGGATTTTAGGGTAGGGTTTCACTTAGCTGCTCCTTCCTTATAAAGGAACAACAGACAGTTTGGCAATTTCTGTTTTCATCTCATTTTAAATCCAAATTACAGATATTGAATGATATAGAAAATTAGTCACCATCCAACTATCTCTGTGCTACACCCACAAGGCTTTTAAAAGGTAGTTTTCATAATTAATCAGTCATTTTGTTGCCATTATTTAATGGAATGTAAAGAAATTTCTGTTCAGCAGTCTTGTTCCTCAAAGATGACACTGAGTTCCATTTAAAAACATTAGTCCTCTGTGTAATTAAAATTAAAAAGTCATCTGCTGTTGCTGTTTGTTGCTTCATGTATGTGTGCCAAGCTACCCAAACTTAGGCAATTTGCCAAAACCCCCAGGGTCACTGCTGATTTTCATGAAGCAGAATGGGTTGGAGTCTCCCCCACTAACATGTTGCAAATAAAACTGCCATTGTGTTTCTGATATATGATGGTATGACCTTTTTTCAGGCTTGATGTGAACTCCATTTCTGAGGACACATCCCTGTTTCTTTGCCACTAGTCTGCCTTGGGCAGTGCACTGAGATCTGAGCTTCTTGTACACCCAGCCTAGTCAGCTTTGCACAGCAATGCCATTAGTGGCATCGCGAGACTCAGTAATCGGGGCTTGATAAGGTACCATGGAAATCATCAGATTTCGAAATGATGGATGCCACAGACTTTTTTTCTGTGGCTTTTTGAAACTGCTGAGTTTTCCTGCCTCTTTCTTCCCTTCTGATGGGTTGCGAAAAAGTTTTCAGATGAATCTTTTGGGAAATCAGTGCCAGAATTGTGGGAATTGCAATGCTACAGAAAGAATGGTAGCTAGTTTGCCAGCTTCTCCAGCTACATCACTGTACAGATAGAATATTGCTGCTAGCTGTGATGGTGCTTTGAATGTGGTAGGGTGAGAAATAGCAGCGTTGCCATACATCTTACCGTAGCTGTAAGTGCACCCAGCTGAGTGCCTCCTAGATGTAGATGTGAGTTGCCGCTGGAGAACATGGCAATCTCTGGATATAATTTGCAAGTTGGGGTTCCCTGTACAGGCAAATCCCGATATGATTTAACAAATCAGTACATTAACTTCATGTAGACTTGCCAAGTTGGAGTGAAAAAAAGTTATAGCCATGTAGCACCATGCAAATGTAGCTGTTGTGCTTTTGAATGGAGGGTGGCCTGTATACTCCCAAGGCTGCCAGTTTGGAAGCTAGAGTAGACAGTGTAGGCACATCTGGGTTTTTTTGCCCATGTGCACTACAGCTGAACAGAATTTCTTCCAGGTCTCCAGGTAAAGAAAGAAATAAAGGATCTCCTGAGACCTCTATTAGAGCAGACAAGGGTGTCTTATTCCCTTTCCAAACTGGATTGTATTTGCCTTTCTCTCCCCACTGCTGCAGTTGGAGGGCTAGTCCAGCAAATATTCTGAATGCCTTATTCCAGGCCTGTAGAAACTGTTCTGCTACAGAAAGGGAGAGCGGTGCAGCCAGAGGATATTCCCAGAGATGGCATAGTCTCTGGAGTGTCCCCCTGTGAGTCCTGATAGAGAAAACAACCCTGTTCAGTGTCCTCTGCTATGGGATTTTCCAGCCCGAGCCAACAGAGCACTTTGAACAGTGGGATATGAGAGCAGCAAAAGAGGATCAGCCTCTGCAGATCTTGGTGCCATGCTCTTCAAACACCAGAGCAGGTACACAGATATAGAAAGCCTTGACTTGATGCTCTGTTCATATCTTCATGTGCTGGGAATCAAGCTGGCATCACAGGGCTATAAGATCAGATTGTGTTGGATCCCTCATGAAACACCTTTCCCAGTGATGTTCAGAAAAAGAAGCAGACTGCAAGCAGGTGGCCTCATGTTTTATAGATGAGGGTCATGTATGGTCTTGTGTGCTTGCAGTCATATATCCACCAGAAACGTTACAGTTGGATGTACATTGGCACAAGTTTGCTTGGAAGCCATGTGGATAATCCCAGGATTTGTCTGTGAATTAGCTCCAGGCCAGAAGCTGCAGTCAGACTGTCTCTCAAGCAGCTGTCTCTGGAAATAGATGGAGATCATCATACCTGTTCATTCCATATGTGTAGGCATCTCCTTTGCTTCTTTGATCTCAAAGTCCTTGGATGCTCTCTGTCGTGCATTCCAGCAGGCTAGAGAACCTACTGGATCAAAGAAAACACAGGCACTGGCAATGGTTATAGTGTCACTGATATTCTGTGTAACTAGTTTGGGGTTTTTTTAAGAGTGTGATGATGATTACTGAGAAGGTGAAATTACAGGGAGAGGCAGAAAGTGTTGTATGTGCGCTTTCCTTTAAAAGAGTATTTTAAAGGTATTGAATAGCTCCTAGGTTGTGCTCAGCAGTGCTTGGTGTGAGGTGCGGATGCAGAAGCAGGGACTGGGGGTTTGTTTGGCTTGTGCTCATCACTGTGTCTGTGTAACAGATTAGGCTGTTTGTCTTTGGAGTGCCTAATTCATTGCTGGTTTTCTTCATTCTTGGGCCTGGAGTCTTCCTGGCCAGTGTGACTGGTAAGCCTGCTTGGCTTCCTTGGGAGAAAATATGATTGTTATTTGCCTTTTGCAACCTTAATTAAACTGGTCTGTAGGCTGGAAGGCCAGATTGGTCTGCAGTTCAGGCAGCAAAGCTGACAGAAGCTGTAGAAACACTGTTTAACAGCTGTGATGTTGTTCAAGCTTTGAACTTTAGGGAAACAAAGTGTTGCTTAGAACACAAACACAGCAAAACGTCCAAGCTGCAAATTGTCAGTAACAATGCAGCTAAAAATTAGTGTTGGCAGGAGCTGCTTTTGTTCCTTCTTTGGTTTTACCATAATCAGCTGTTTGGGAGTTTCGTTTCTCTGCCACTCCTCACCCTTGCAAAAAGGTATGTTAAAAGTTATTGATTGTGTTCTGTTCAAACATATGCTTACTGTATCCAATATAATGTTTCAATGTAACAACATTAAAATCTACCTTCAGGGTTTTTCACACTGCTTAAAAGTTACCTGTAGTCCTCATACCTGAAGTGAGGATCTGCCACTCCAGGAGAAGCTTGAATTTACCTTTTTTGGTATGCTCTGTCTATAACCAGCAAGTTCCTTAGATGACTGTGTTAGTTTACTAATGCATTTTGTCTTTATCTCTATCTTTATGGGTAAGCTTAAAAGTCACCACTGGAAAAAAAAAAAAAGTGTTATATCTGCTTCTGAATTGTCAGGTCATATCGTGCAGTAGGATATAGCAAATTTATTTTGCCAGAGAGAAAGGAGATTATGCTAGCAGAGCTCTCTTAACCCACCTGTGAGATTTGTTTTGACAAGACTGATCTCTGTGAACTGCAGTATTTACCGGTCTTTCGTTAGAATGGCAATGAATAATTAAAAAGCTTAGCACATTCTGTCTTCAGTTTTTGTAGCGTCAGGTGATTTTGTTCAGTAGTAAGGCCTAGATTTCCTCCAAAATGGGACAAAGTAAATGTAAACCTGTTTTTTTGGAACAAGTCAACCATGTTTCTTCTCTCACTTCTACACCATTGGTTTATATCTCCTTCAAATTGGAAACTCTACTAATCCTTCAGAGCAATACAGCAGGAGCTTTGAGAGGATGGTTCAGGTGATATCTCTATTGTATGTCCCATTTGTGTTTTATTATTGCACAGATGTAAGACTTGGTCTGTGCTTTGGTCCCCCTGCATTTATTTTGGAGTCATCTTCAGAGTGCCCTGTGGGCTATGTGCCACTGAGAAAACACTTGCATCCTCAAGGAAAGGGAGATCTAACTGTTTGAGGATAAATGGCACTGGATGGGAAGATACATTGCATGAGCTGTTGACACTCTGAGTGAAGTATGATGAAAACAGCTTCATCTTGTGATTTTGTTTTAGCGTTTTATCTTTCTTTACAGCTTCTTGGGTACTCAGCTTCTGTTTTGTTTACTCCAATAGAGGAAAAGACTTCAGCTTCAGTCAGTGCTGCCTCCTCTGTTGTTTTGGTGAAATGTGATGTGTAACTTTTTTTCTTAAATCCCCAGACAGCACAAAGGCCAGCGGAAAAAGAGTTGTAGGAGATGTGGCGTACAGTACAGCAAAGGAAAAAGCTTCCTACATCACCCCAGTTCCTGGTGGCGTTGGGCCTATGACTGTGGCCATGTTAATGCAGGTACGTGAGTAGACTGTGAGACTACTGATCATATTCTCTACGTGTGCCTTTGGGTTATGTTGCTGCTGACCATCAGCACACTACCAAAGCAACTGATGATTCCTTATTGCTCTTACAGAGGTCTAGTTAGGATTTCCAGCTTCCAGTCTAAACAATTTGGATTCGGTTAACAAAGGAAAAAAATGGACCTTAAGGAAATATTAGGACAGATGGGTTTTTGGTTGGGGATTATTTTGGGGTTTGGTTTTGGTTGTTTTTTTAAGTGTGGTCTCTCAAAACAGTGAGGATTGGGCTTGTCTCACAATGCTCTGGCTGTAATTCTAACACTATCCATAGGGTGATTTGATAAAAAGGAAGACAGTAACAGTATAAGCCAGCTCCTTCTGTTTCTTGCTTTGCTTAAGGAGCCCTGCTGGCACAGAACAACCCAAAAATATTCAATACGCTGGAAGATAGACAGGTAGATGGATAGATAGATATGGTGGTGGGTTTTTTTCTATGAGCAGAATCTCATTCTGGATTGTTAGCAAATGCTTTAATGAAAGCACTTTGTGTTAATCCCAAACTGAGACAGAGAAGAGGGGAAAAGCTTTCTGAGTCTCTGTTAACCAGCACGGTTCATGCAGTGGTGGTTGCTATAATGCATTCTCATGCTCATTTTAGAGCACAGTGGAGAGTGCACAGCGTTTTCTGGAGAAGTTCCAGCCTGGAAAATGGAACATCCAATATAACCAGCTTACCCTAAAGATGCCTGTTCCAAGGTAATGCTTTCAAATTAAGCCACTGTTGGTATTCTTGCAGTATAGTGTTCACTTCTGTTCCCAAGCTTTGCATAATATGGGGCATACATGTATATAGACTGTAGCTGGCATTGAAGTTTGGAGAGTAGTAGAGAGAAAGCACTGTGAGGCCTTCCTAAGGGAGCCGAGCTAACCTGCAGTGGTGCTGTGATGGATGTTGAAGTGTAGGCTTGGGTCATCCTGATAATATTAAGGTGTAAACATGGACTTCCACGGACTCTGTAGGCCAGCTAGATAGTTGCTGATTCAGCAAATAGCAATATACTTGTATTTTGGGAAGTTTTCAGTCTGACATGGCAAAAACCTAGCATCTTGAAGTAGCAGTTGTTGGGTGTCAAGTCCCCATAAGGGAGCATAACATGTCGCCTACAAAAAGGCATTCTTGGGTTGGAGGTTGGGGGTGGTGTTTGGGTTTTTTGGTTGTTTTTTCTGTGTTGGTTGGTTTGTTGGTTTTTTTTTTTTTTTCAAAAAGTAAACTCCAAGGATGTGTCTATTCTAGTATAGCCAGTATTGGTGGGATTGATTTATTTAACTAGAAGGGGTTAAAATATTTAAAACATGGGTTGGGTGTTGTAGTTTATACTGTCCAGAAGCAGAGAATTTGTGAGAAGTCTTTGACTTTTATAAATTGACCTTGCTCTCTTTCTTTAAGCGATATTGAAATATCACAGTCTTGTATAGCCAAGCCCATTGAACAGGTTGCAAAAGAAGTTGGCCTACTCCCTGATGAGGTGGAGCTCTATGGCCAAACTAAAGCCAAGGTTCATCTGTCAGCTCTGAAACGGCTGAAGAACCAGCCAGATGGCAAATATGTTGTTGTTACTGGGTAAGTACTTACTTAAGTGAGGCATCACTTACATGGTGTCCAGGTGAAAAGAAATTTTATTAGCGCGGCTTGTCATTGTATTGTCTTTTGGTACTTTTGGACTACATGGGGTGCTTTAGGTTTTAGTAAATCACGCTGGAAATCTAGTGGTTTGGGAAGTAGATTTATCTCTTCTGGCAAATTGTGGGAATGTAGTTTAACATTTCTTTCCTGAGATGAATTGTTTTGCTCTGCAGGTCAGGGTTATGAAGGGCAGACTGGATGATAGCCAAGGTTCTTCTAGTCCAGTAGCTTGTCTTCAACAGTAACTAGCAAGTTTTTTCAGAGGACAGTCTTTGGCAGTTATGTGATAATTTGCCAAACTCGTTCCAGTTTCAAACTGATGAAGATTAGCTGAAGTCTGAGCCAATCCAGAATTTGAATTGGCATTAACTTCATTCACTGGGTGGCTGTTTTACCCCAGTGTTTTGAGTCTTACCCATTACAAGGGTTTCATTGTGTCTGTTCTGCTTTTTCACTGCAGGATAACTCCTACTCCCCTGGGAGAAGGGAAGAGCACCACTACTGTTGGTCTCGTTCAAGCCTTAGGAGCACACCTTCACCAGAATGTCTTTGCCTGTGTTCGGCAGCCTTCTCAGGGCCCAACCTTTGGTATAAAAGGTATGAGCTGTTCTGTTGCTTGCAGCTGGACAAATGGGGAAGGATAACACTCAGATTTTATTCTACTGCATTGTAGTTTTACATAATTACTAGTTACAATTGCATTTCTTATAAGAACGAAAAACCTTGGGTTAAGTTCCTCAGTGTTGTCTTCAAGTGTTGTGGTGGGATTTAAACTAAGCTGCTCGGCAGTAGCTGCCTTCTTAAAGCCATTAAGCAAACACACATAATACCAGTCTGGGTTAGAGAGACTCTTATTTGCATGATTTGACTATTGTCTCTCTGTAGGTGGAGCTGCCGGTGGTGGCTATTGTCAAGTTATCCCCATGGAAGAGGTAATTCTTTATACGAAGCCCCATTGCACATATAGCTCACAGACCTTTAAGAGATGCTGCGCTCAGACAGCTTATGAAATCTTTTTTAGTTATGGTCCGGTGTAGCACTCCCAAGAACTGAATGCTTGATTTCAGCAAAGCTTTTTTTTAAAAAACAAAACCAAAAAAAATCTTTGTTTCAGAAGAGTAACTGCATGGACTTCACAGAACTTGGAATTCCCAGTTCTTCTGTTCCCTCCCCTTCTCTACCTTTGAATCACTGCATACCCTCAGCAGAGTTCATACTGTGCCTCTTTTTCCCGGCACTAGAATGAAGATGATAATGATTTAATAAGTTTTGGAAGCATATTAAGTAGTTCTGTCAGCAGCGGCGGTCACCAACTCTTTCTGTGAGCTATTTTGGTGTACTTGTGTTTTAGATTACTAATGTGAAATGGGAAAAAGGAAGTTGGGAATCAGTAATGCTAAGACCTCAGCCTGTGGGGGACTGGCGCTGCAGCATACTTCTGACGTGACTTGGCAACAAGTAAAATCCTGTGTCTGGGGGCAGGGAATTGAAAGGCACGTGTAGCACGTGCTCTCGTGCTTCTCTCAACTCTCAAAGTAATTGCCTGTATAATTCTAGCTTTGTTTTGTGCACTAGATTGACACAGGGCAATTCTAGGAAGAAAAGCAGAAATGATCAAAAGGGCTGTTCATTCCAATTGATGCAGCAAGTCCATAAAAGATAAATGTTAAGGAGGCAGAATATTGATTTAGTCAGGTGCCAAGAAAATGTGTGAATGATAGATGTGACAGGAAGAACAATCTCGTCCTGTTTGGGAGTGTTAATAAGATGAGCCAAAATACTTAACTGTGTGCAGCAGTGGGAAACAGCACCGGTTTTGGAACCAAACTGGCTGAAAGGACTTTAAGTATGACCCAAGTGGTATAAATACACATAGTTTTGTTAGGGGTGTGTTAATCGATGCATGTCTCGTAAAATAGAAGTATCTGGAATCACTAGTTGCAGTAATGACCTTCATATTGCAGAACCAAGGTGGTAATAATTGCTTCTTGTTGCATTTATGTAGAATGAGTCAACAATTAGCATTTACTAATTAGGAGTTATAATCAGTATGTGACTAGCTCCATTCTGCTTTTAGCTATCTGGTTTCTAAGACCACAGTAGCAAGGCTCCAACGAAGTGGTCCCATAAGGTCTTCTGTCATACCATGTTTTCTAATGTCCCATTTTCACCTTCCTCCTTTGCTGCTCTGCTACGGAGGAAAAGGATTGTTTTAACTACAGGTTTTACTCCCCTGCCATACAGCAAGTTTGTCACGTAAGCTATATATCCCAAGTCTTCTGTCAGTATAGCTACAGTGCAGCCAGATAACTCATGTAGACAAGCCCCCTCAAACTGTCTTTTAATGAGATAGAACCAAGAAAACTACTAGCAGTGTCACTGTGTAGTACATGGTCTACAAGTTCTGCCTACGATACTGTGTTTTTGAGTGGTTAGCTCATGCAGAGCTCTGTGCAACCACAGCTCTACTGCTAGCACTACACAAGGTTGCTAGTTTCAATTTAGCTCAGATATCTTTGTGGGAGCAGCAGCAGCTTTGGCTAAAGTATGTGTGAAACCTGTTGTGCAAATAGTGAGTGGGTCAGAAGGTGAAGGAGGAGCAATGCAGATGTGCCATACTGTGGTCTTCTCAGGTGTCAAGGAGCCTGTGAGAATCGTTCTCATGAAATAAAAACTTCTTATTTGGAAGCTTCATTCTGGAAGTTTGTAAAATGACATAAATGTGGGGGAGGCATTTTTCTGTTTTAGAGAAATTCTTTCCTCTCTTCCACATACTGCACTGAGCAATCTCTCCCCCTCCACCCTCACCCACTTTAACATTGCTATTAATACTTCTTTTTCCATCTGTCTACGATGAATTGAAATAAATTAAAATTGCAGCAGGATGAGGTAACTGATATGTTTTATGTCCTCTAGTTTAACCTTCACCTCACTGGTGACATCCATGCTATCACTGCAGCCAACAACCTGGTTGCTGCTGCTATCGATGCGCGTATATTCCATGAGCTAACTCAGACTGACCAGGTATGGTCCTTTTTTATGATGTATTTTGGCCCAACCTGCTTTGGCCAAGATGTTTTGGCTGTGCCAGCAGTGCTAACTACCTCTTTTGTTCTGCAAGGCCCTTTACAACCGTTTGGTGCCTTTTGTCAGTGGTGTTAGAAAGTTCTCAGACATTCAGATCCGAAGACTACAGGTAAGTTCACTGGTTTCGCATCGGTTTCCAGTTCTGTTCCACTTACGCATCCTTTACGTAGGCAGAGCTAGGTTACAGAAACCCTCGTGTTGTCCTGTAGGTCACTCTGCTTGCATTTATTTTTTACCTAAAATGTGCAGAAGTGTGGTAGCCCTTCATACAGCGCAGAAAACAGTGAGAGGAAGCCTCAAGGGGAAGAATCATTGATGTAACTCTCTGTATCATATGCTGTATGAGTAACACAGTGGAAGGAGGCAAAGGAATTAGTGCCCTTTATTAATGATGTCAATTCATTGTCTTTAGTGCATTTTAAGAAGGGACCAGAATCACTCTCCATACCTTACACCCAGTTACAGCTAGAGATTAATAGTTCCCATGTGACAACTATATAGATAATGCAGCACAAAAAAAGGCAATTTATAAAATTCAGCAAAAAGAGAACATATAGAATTTTTTGTCTTATCCAGATTGAGCAAACAGGGAAAAATGGAAAAAAATACCCATCCCCTATGCTTCCCACTCTTCCTCTCCCCAAAAAAAGAATTTCCAGGTAAATAAGTAACCCTGGCATTGAGTAGCAGTCCCTGAGCAGACCACAGTTCCTCTGATCTTCAGAAATTAATGTGAACTAGCATGTGTCCCTGGCCGCTGCAAAAATGAGGATTAACAGAGGAATAGTTTTGCACTGGGCTTGGACCTTCTGGCCAGGAGGACAGCCTGGGGCCTGCTAAGCTCATTCAAAGTATGGACCTGTTTGTGCAATATTCATGCTGGATCAGTTGCCCATTTGGAGGTCAGAAACAATAGTCAACAACAGTCAGACTACGACTACTACTACTTAGGAAAAACTCTTATTTATTAATTGTCTATAATGTCTCAATCATTAGAAAGTGTGTGGTTTGCTTCCACTACTGAGCAAAGAAGCTATGTCATACTGCTTGGTGTTCCTGACGGACTGTTGAGGGAACTCTACCCTAATCATGCTTCTGGTTATTAAATGTTGAGATGTGAATGGCATGCTAATATTCCAGAAAGAGTATCTTCTTTATTTTTTTATTTTTATTTTTTATTTATGTATTTATTTTTCTAAATCATGTGCTTGTAGATGAAGAAAACAGACTTTCTTCTTTGCTGTTCTTATAGAGAAAAATATGACTTAGCTGTCTAGTTAATTAAAAAAAGCTTGCTCGTTCATAAATCAGCTTAATCGTTTTCCTCATTCCTAAGCTTGCGCTTGTATCAGGCTTCTTGAGATAATTCTTCTCTCAATTAAGCAACTTGGCAAACTGCCCATCCTCTCAGTATGTTCAGGATCAGCTTTCTGGGATGCTGACAGCCTTGTGACTGAATTGTTTAATTCCTCCTTTGTGCTGCTTAACCAGCATGCTGAAAACAGTGTCTTTAAATACGTATGGCTGTGTGCAGTGACCCTAGGCAAACTAATGAGAAATGGATGGAAGCATGTGAGACTAATGGTTAGAACAAGGCGTGTAAGAAACTGCAGAGCTTTCTCCCTCACTCTTTCTGTAGATAACTTGCACAAAGCTCGGTGACAGCCTGCCCTAATGAGCTCTATTGTCTGCCTTGCCCTTTACTAGCTGGCCAGCAGCAAGTTCTGCTTCCAGGTACACACTGATAATGGATCATCGTGCGTTGTTGTAGGGTCTAGGAGGAGGGGAACCAAAAAAGCAATCCCTTCTTATTTCTAAATATGCAGATACTGCTGCCAAAGGCTCATTGTTCTAGTGAAAGTTTCATTTCTGTGAATCTTTTCATTATACCTTTTTTCTTTTGTTTGTCATTTCCTCCCATAGAAATTGGGCATTAATAAAACTGATCCTATGGCTTTGACAAAGGAAGAAGTAAACTTATTTGTGAGATTGGACATTGACCCAGCCACCATAACATGGCAAAGAGGTACAAGAGCCATTAAATGAAAGAATTATTAAGAAACAAAATGTGTCAAAGAGGTTTGCAAGTGCAGCAGGAACTATGTTTCCTGGGAAAATGGGAAAGAGGGCAGGGCTGGCCTTTCCTTCTGAGTGTTTGGTGCGATAGATGCCAGCAGCTGGGACCCCGTTTCTGAAAGGTTTGACGCACGGCCTTGAAGCTGCTCTGAATTCACAGAGATTAAGACTTGCCTAATTGGTGCAAGTTTCTGTTCCTGGATTTGTCGGTCACAGAGAGTTGAGTTTGGCAACTGCAGCCAACAGCCTTTTTAGCTGACTGAAAAGTTCTGTGAGCAAGGAGAGGGTTCTGCTCTGGCCTTAAACTCAGTTTTAATCTGCCCACTTGCTCTGTTGGGGACTGACAGAAATTAAAGGCTGGATTTCTAGAGGTTTTTAAAGATATCTGAAGGTAAGATCAATCTCTGGTCTGCAGATTTAATATTTCACTAGCAAAAAACACTTCAAATAAAGACTTTTTTCTGGTTTAGACCCCAAGAGTATTACTTCTTTTTATTAAAATACAGTGTGAAATTAATTCTCCAAAATTTGCTTCAAAACCTGTAATGGGGCTAAAGTAGTCTGCCTCATGGGAAATATTTTTTAAAATGCTTTTCAAGTAGATAATAAGAAACAGCAAATTTAAGCCAGTATTTGATAGTTTGTGTTTCCAAGGTAATTTGAGTTAATGGGGCTGTGTGAAACTACTTTCACTAAATAGTAGAATCTGACCATTTTATCACTTAACCTATAAAATGATAATTTTATTTCCTTTTGGCTGTAATAATTTCCTAATTTCACATTGGCTAATGATTGTGAAAAAGCAATTGGAATAATACTAGCAGTTCTGCTTTTCAGAGAGGCTTGGGGCTTGTGGTTCATGCACGCGAAAGGAGGTAGGCTCCCTCTGGGTGGAGTGCAGGGTTTGCATGTGAGTGAGGGCATCTTAACTTTGTTGCAGCTCAGTTTTGGGGAAGAATCACATTGAGTAGCACTTGCCATTCTGTAGGAGATGATGGTATCTGAAACTGCCATCCTCTCTTCATAGGTTATCTAGCTGAGTGTTTGCAATAGGGCATAAATGTGACTTATGACTTGCAACATGACTTCTCTCTCTGCATTCCTTGCAGTACTGGATACAAATGACAGGTTCCTTAGGAAAATCACTATTGGACAGTCTCCAACAGAAAAAGGCTTCTCACGAACGGTAATTGTTCCCTTTTTTTGCATGTTTTAAAAAGTACTTTGAAAAACGTGGTCCTCGAGCAAGTTTCTGGAACTCCAGATATTTCCATCTTTTACCAGGACCTTGCTAAAGAGAAAGCAGAAAGTCCCTTCAACCAAGCACTTAAATTTGCTACCAGTGCAGTGTTTAGTTTTATGTATGTTCTCTCCTTCCCTGTTCTTTCCTGAATGTTGACTTCCCAGACTTGGATGACTGTGGCATAATAAGTGTTACATAAATGTGCTCTGTAAATATGATGCATCGCAATGGTTCATCTTCACCACTGCAGATGCTTTGAGTGGAATGTATCTGGCCAAAACTAGACACGGTGTCGGATTTTGTTGTCTATATTTATTATATAATCAATGAGTAAAATAGACAATCTGGGCTGTGACTCCTCTCATCCCTTAAGTAACTCAAATTAATACTTCAAATGAATTGTGCTCAGAAAAGCCTCTTTTTGTTGACTTGAAATGTCCCTAGGGTGCTTAGCTTCAATGCAGGTGTCTGTTATGTCAGATGAATTCAACCCTTCATTTCCCATAGAATCTGATTTTGGTTTTTTGGTAATTTACTGTACTGTTTAGTCAGATGAGTTAGTAAGCTTAGTCTTCAAAAATACAATTAGTTAATGTTGAGTGTTCTTACATGAATCACTAATGTATGTACCAGGAGAGAGTCATGTAATAGCAATGGAACAAGTAGCTTTTACTTAATTTTGCAGAAAAAAATCCAGTTTTAAATGGCCAAATTAAATGAAGTATGTTCTGAGAGTAATGCTTTGGATTTCTTTTATATTTGTATGTCTGTATTTTTTAAATTTTTTGTTGTGATGATTGGCCTTGTTTCAAGAATTTAATGGAGGTAAGGATTGCTTCTAGGGAATCTTGATGAGTTCACGTTCTTTACTCGTCTCTTGCAGGCTCAGTTTGACATCACAGTGAGCAGTGAAATCATGGCAGTTCTAGCACTCTCTGATGGGTTGGATGATATGAAAAAGCGACTGGGCAGAATGGTAGTAGCTTCCAGCAAGAGAGGAGAACCAGTTACAACAGATGACCTTGTAAGACATTAATTCTGTTCTTAAATGCTAACTTTTGCCTATTCTGAAAGTCCTTGAATTGAAAAGCGTAGAGACAGTTCTGTACAGAAAAGACCTTAGCATGCAGAAGATTAAAGACGAAATCTCAGCCCCTGGAGTTAATGAAGGTGTTTTACTTCAGTGTGGCAAGCACCTTACCCAGAGAGTGTGTGAGTGTGTGCATGTGACCTGGGGAGGGACAAATTGTCCTATGTGATGTGCTGTGTGTCAAGTTGAAGCTGGCACCATAGGAATTAATGGGGAAATGCATGGTGGGTTCTAGATAAAAAGCATATTTACAAACTGGAAGAACTCAAAATGCATCCTGCTGGCCACCCTGTTTCTCAGGCTCCCTGGAGTGAGGAAAATATTGAGCAGGAACAAAGCCGTGTGCAAATTTAATTACAGATGATGAAATATCTGATTCTGGGAGACTGTGAATGCTATAAAAGCCAAACCCTTTGCAAAAAGTGCAAAGTCTCCATAAGGCAGCCTTTGGTGAGGGACACAAATCCTGTTTCCATTGCATAAAATGCTGAATGTGGTAGCTCTGGTGATGTCTATTAACAGTATGTAAAGCAGTCCTAAGCAGCAGTTGCAAGCTGCAGCACTGTCTTGCAGCTATCCATACAATAGTTATTATTACAGTTCTTTGCATGTTTGTGGAGTATGTCAAATAACACTCTCCCAAACGATGCTTCAGTGTGGCTTCAGGAGAATAGCCTGTGCCCCAAACACTTCCTCCAATAGGTGCTTTGAAGATGGCAACCCTGTTTGGAGAAGGAAAGGGGAGTCGAGCCCTGTTATATGAATTATGCCCTGCCACTTGGCCTCAAGACAGAACAGGCTCAAGACTGTTGCACTAGTCAATAGAGATAGGATATTGATGCTTACTGCTGTCCTGTATAGCAGATTTTTCACAGCTTGCTTTGCAAAAGACAACAGTATTACAAATTCGCGTGATGTGGTGTTAATGAGGTTTGTCTTGCATTTTCTGAATGAAGCTTTCCAGTGAAATTGAAGAATCCACAGGGGAGGGTATTTTGACCTGTGTTTCCAGCAAGGTGGGACTCAGCACTAAGGCTTACCTGGCTCTTGCTGTATTGCTGTGGGTTGTTTGTTGTGGTTTTTGCGTTTTTTTTTTATGTTTGGGGTTTTTTTGGTTTGTTTTACTTCTTCCCAGGATAAGCCTAAGAAGCAGTAGATTAACAATGTGGCCTGACTCTGGCCTTGCAGGAAAAGGGCTATGCTGGGAACCATTTATCTGTAGATGTCCTTATGTGAGACATTTGTTGGGAATGAGGGAGGGCATGTGCCGAAGTTCTGTAGGCAGCTTTGAGATTTTAATTCCTACTGCTAGCATGCTGCCAGTTTAACCTTAAGTACCTGAGTTAAATCCTTTTCTGGAAAATGGGAGTCTCTCCTGCTGCCCGTCAGCAGTGGAGGCAGATGATGCTTGGCAGGGAGTTGCTTTGAGTTTTATGTAGAGTCCAGGTGACAGAAGTCTTTCATCTCAAGATTTTTTCCCTTTTTATTTTTTTTTAAAATCTAATTAGATTTAATTTTGTCCATTGCAACTATGGAATGGAGGATAGTATCAGACCTGTCCAGCTTTGTTGTGGTTTTTGCGTTTTTTTTTTATGTTTGGGGTTTTTTTTTTTGGTTTGTTTTACTTCTTCCCAGGATAAGCCTAAGAAGCAGTAGATTAACAATGTGGCCTGACTCTGGCCTTGCAGGAAAAGGGCTATGCTGGGAACCATTTATCTGTAGATGTCCTTATGTGAGACATTTGTTGGGAATGAGGGAGGGCATGTGCCGAAGTTCTGTAGGCAGCTTTGAGATTTTAATTCCTACTGCTAGCATGCTGCCAGTTTAACCTTAAGTACCTGAGTTAAATCCTTTTCTGGAAAATGGGAGTCTCTCCTGCTGCCCGTCAGCAGTGGAGGCAGATGATGCTTGGCAGGGAGTTGCTTTGAGTTTTATGTAGAGTCCAGGTGACAGAAGTCTTTCATCTCAAGATTTTTTCCCTTTTTATTTTTTTTTAAAATCTAATTAGATTTAATTTTGTCCATTGCAACTATGGAATGGAGGATAGTATCAGACCTGTCCAGCAGGTTCTGTTGAATGTTATATGTTTGCAGTGATAGTGACCATTGGCTTGCATTGTTAGGACTGTGTTACATATGCCTCATGCAGGCCAGAAACGTGGTGATTGCTGAGATCAGACTGGCACAATAAGATGTCTGGGTCCTTCTGTGATATAACCAGTGTCATGGGTGTGCTACCAGGAAGCGCAAAGAAACTGGGAAGAAATGTGAAATCAAAACCTGACTACAGGTTTTTAAAGATGGGATGTATTCAGGTGCCACTGAGTGACACAGACCTGAAATGTCATCGTGTAAATCCTGCTCTGTAGTTTTCATTATTCTGGAGATGACTGAAATTTAAAGCTTATCTGTTAAATGTTAAATAAGCTTTCATGTGGCAAGATTGAAACTAATGAAACAAAGCATTGAATGTCTTAAAAAAAAAAAATCTTTTGTATAATCGAGTGCTGCAATCCAATTGAATTTAAAAGGGAATAAAAAGACAACATGGTTCAAGGTTTTCATAACTGCTGTGAACGTTTGACTCTGTACCCATGATAACAATTCTGGTTACTTTTGCAAGTGCTGGGTAACAGCCAGTTTGATTTCTACTGGACTGTGTCAGTTACAAGGATGACCAAACCCTCATTTTCTCTTCCCAAAGCAGAGGTGGATAAGATCACAAGCCTTCACTTTGCAGGAAGCAGAATTGCAGCAGGGTATATTGCTGCACCTTGGAGGAAACATGGGCTCCAGTGTTTGCCTTTCATGACGTCAGGCTAGTCTCGCTCACGAGCACAGAGGTTCACTTTAAAAGTTATTTCTGCACACTTGGCCAGGATGTAGCAGCTTGTTATGACATTTTTAAGGCCAGTATGTAGAGCCTAGTTGCTGAAATGAGGAAGGCAAAAAGTCCAAGACAAAATTACCTGCAAAACCCAAGAACATAGACATATGTGTAACTTCAAACTCCTTAATACGTTTAGATACTGCAAAAGAAAGACAGTAATGCTACAATTGAGATATCGGGGTGATGAGCGTGGTCCACTATTTGAACATGTATAACAACGGTGCTGAAAAACTCCCTGCTTTGTGCCGCTGAATGGTCTATAGTAAACTCTAGGTTACTCTCTCACTGCTATTGTTTACTAACCTTGCTATAGCATTGAAATGGCAATTTTTCTTTATGCCTTCACTACAAAGTGATGGCCAAGCAAGGTCCCAACCAAGAGGCTGCACCCAGCAGAAACCACAGATTCTCTTACAAGGATGTAAAGGCCATATTCTGCCTCACTAGGGTTAGTTATAACTGGAGCAACTGCTGGTTCTGGTCCTGAAAGCTCACCAGGACAAAAGCAGAGCCTTGACACTCCATAGGAACTGTCTCAAAGTCTCAGTACATCTGGAAACTGATTGCTTTTTTTTCTTTTAGGGGGTGACCGGTGCTCTGGCTGTTTTGATGAAAGATGCTGTTAAACCAAACCTCATGCAAACACTGGAGGTGAGTACAGATGGTTTGCTATATGTGTGTTCTCAGAGCCAAGAAGCAACCAGTCTAGTTCGTTCATCATGATCAGTGTGGGCTTACTTTGCCAAGAGTTGGAGGTTTACTGTGGATTCCTACCAAAGGTTCAGGGCTAGGGGAGAACGCTAGCTTCTTTCTAGGTTTGCCGTTGGCATGTGGGATAATCCCGAAGAAATGCACTAAACTTTGCTGTGTCTCTCTTCTTTTATGTTCAATGCAGGAAGTGTTTTTTGGAATCTAGATGGTGTGGATGCAGAAGAATGGCAAAAAGTTGCTGTGATTTAGCCATCCTTTTCCTAAGTGGATTAGCATCTCCACTTGTGCAGATTATTATAATCGTGTTTGCCCTGTAGTCCTTATTACTGATAACAAATGTTTGATCAGAAGGCTTTAAGATCTGTCTTCTAAAAGCATTTTTCTTTACCTTCAGGTACCATAGTACTTAGCTCCTGAAGTGCTGCAAATTTGCTAAATTGTACCCTCTGATTTTCTTTCTCTCCCCCCCGCCCCCCTCCCCCCTTTTCTAGGGAACACCAGTGTTTGTTCATGCTGGACCTTTTGCCAATATTGCACATGGGAATTCTTCAGTGTTGGCAGACAAAATAGCACTGAAGCTTGTGGGTAAAGAGGGATTTGTTGGTAAGTGTGTGGGGTGGTTTTTTATTTGCTTTTTGTTTGTGTTGCAGGGAGCGGTCTGCCTTTTTTTTATCACGTATGTCTTTAGGGTTTTATTGTCCTGGAAAAAGCTTCTAATTTATATAATCAGAGCATGATTTCTCCACCCAGCAACCTCTCACAAGCTTCTTTTCTTTTAATTCCTACTCTAGTTACAGAAGCAGGATTTGGTGCAGACATAGGCATGGAGAAATTCTTTAATATTAAGTGCCGCTATTCTGGTCTCCGGCCTCATGTGGTGGTGTTGGTTGCTACTGTCCGAGCTCTGAAAATGCATGGAGGAGGGCCTACAGTAAGTACTAGGCAAAGTTTTCTTTAGGCCTGAGGGGCTGTTACTGTTACTCTGATCCAGTCACTTAAAGCCCTGTAGGGTTTGATCTGCATGTAATTGTTTTGAGATTTGCAGTTTTAAAAAGAATCCATATGTCCCTGTTGCTTGTAAGCTGCTTCAGTGTGGTATGTTACAGGCACATACCTGCTTGTTTTATTGTCCTAACTAAATGGTTGTACGCTGGGACATTTGTGATATTACCACAGTCAGTCATTTGGTGTGTTGTGAGAGCATCTTGCGGTCTTTTATTTTTCCTTCTATTTTTTTCTTAGAAAAAAGGATCAGCCTGGAATAGAATGTTGTATCTTGATGCTGTTTAATAAGAATCAAGCATGAATTACTGTCATGGATAAAAATTGTATGGCGTTCCATCTTTTTTTCTTTTTTTCCTTTTTTTCCCCAGGTCACTGCTGGGGTACCTTTACCAAAGGAGTACATGGAAGAGGTAACTTTCTTTAGCTGTTGTGACAGTTGACCAACTAACTGCAGTCACATCACGATATTGTCATGCTGGGCATGCCTGGATAGCTAGTGTGTGTCATTTCTTTAGCTGCCAGGGCAATGCTTCCTCATACAAGCTTTAATGTTCTTGCTTTTTTTTTTTTTCTTTTAATGATGTTACTTTGGCTCTGCTCTTTCAAGCATTTATTGTGCTTGACCTAGCCACAGTTCAGAGCCTTTTTTGTTTCTCCTGAGCTCATGCAATTGTCTGTGCGCTCAATTTTTCATAGTAATATCTCCTCTTGTCTCCCCAGACCTTCTCAGTATGGAGTAATTTCTTGGCTGAAATATGTCTCTGAAAACATTCAGAGTGCCTCTCTAATTACTCTCTTCTTTGCAGCAGCAGTTTCTGTTTTTATTCCCCCCCACTTCTTTGCAAGCAGAGAGGAAAGTGAATTAAGGTCTCAGCTTCTATCCTTGTGCCTTGAATGGTTGTGTACACTTGCACGATTGGGCTGGCTCTCTTTACATTGCTGCAGCTTTTTCACTTGTGGAGCTTCTGTATGGATTATTCTCTGCATAGGAAGGGCTGAAGTGTCTCGATTTCCATGAATAGTGTCTGATGCTGCAAAATGTAAATGTGTGTAAACCAAAAGCTCTTGCCAGAGCACTTCAAACAAGTGTCATGAGATTCACTGCTAATGATATTTAATACATGAAGAGGAATGTGTCAGAGAGGAAAACGAGGCTTTACTGTGGGGAGTTAACGAGCACAGGTATTAACTTACTAAGAATAACAAAAAAAAACCTGTAAAAAGTGATTTGTCTTATCTTGGCTTGGCAGCTGAAACCAGCAATCATTAGAAGTAGTCATTCCTTTTCCTGTCTTCCATCCAGGACCATGCACTGGTCTGGACTGTTCAGAAAGCAGCCCTTGTAGTTTCATTCTCATTTTGGCATTTTTATCATTAGCTGTGGACGTAGTGGATTTGGAACAAAAGTTTCACTGCCCCTGATAAAATGTGCTTCCTTGCTTGCTGTCTTCTTTACAGAATCTTCAACTGTTGGCAAAAGGCTGTAGTAACCTCAACAAGCAAATCCAAAATGCACGGATGTTTGGTGTCCCAGTAGTAGTAGCTGTCAATGCTTTCAAGTAAGTGAGCTGGGATGTGGAAGTGATGCATGGGAATAAAATTGTGGTACTTTATATGCTACATTTAACACAAACTCTTGTTTCCAGTACTGTTGATATACTGTTTGCAGCATTTTGCATTGTTGGAAGATGCTGAATAAATAGGGCAGCTCTGCTTAATAATTTCAAATGCATTCCTTAATTTAAATTAGCTTAGGATTTTATGATCAGTGACTATTATCTGCCCTCACACCCTGACTGGCCAAATTACTGTGGACAGAAGGTGCCTGTGATGATGTGGAATCTAAGGTCTTAATAGATGGTGAAGTGCCTGTGCTGTCAACCACGCTGTGTTCAGTGGTCTGCTGTAGGGAATAATTATGTCCCGCTAAGAAGCATTTTGGGCTCTGCATGTTGTACTGCACAGGAAATAGAATCTGTGTGTGGTCTTTTTATGTAAGCAGAGGGGCTTTGACCTGGTGTGCTAAAGCTGATGCCAGTTGAAGCAAAGTAGCCAGCTGAGGATTCTTCGTCTGAAGTAAATGCATATTGGCTGATTTAGAGAAATTACGGGGTTTAGCTTGTTGTGTATGTATGATATAGCACCTCTAAATCAGCAATACTAATGCCTTTTTGAGTTTGCTTCTGAAAACAGGAGTTGTATTGCTGATACAGGACAGATACAACAGAAAATCTGCAGCGCTGCTCTATGGGAAGTCATGGGTTTCTGCGTGTAGTTCCAGAGCTACCTGTTGCTGTCTGTTCCTTTGTGAAGTAGCTTCCCTCACCAAGATGGAGAAGGCTGAGGTGAATGGCCCCTCAGCAGCTTCCTGATGTCTGGATTCTGTGGTTTCTTTGGACAGCTTTTGGATGTTGTCAACAAGAGTGAAAAGTGGTTAGAACAAACAGTTAATTTACTGTTTCTGCTTTCTGGTACAAATGCACAAACTCTTCTCCTTACAGAACAGATACAAAGGCTGAACTGGCGCTTGTAGTACAACTGGCAAAGGAAGCAGGAGCATTCGATGCTGTGGAGTGCACTCACTGGGCAGAGGGAGGTAAAGGAGCAGTTGCACTGGCCCAAGCTGTTCAGAGAGCATCACAGACACCCAGCAACTTCAGGTTCCTCTATAATGTGGAGGTAAGAACTTGCAGTATTAGAGAGGTACTTTCTTTGTAAGGTGGAGATGAGTTGGTCTCACTAGCTTAAGTTGCTGAAGGCTGCCTGAAAGGCTGCTCTGAGAATCTGAGGAGAAAATTGCTTTTAGAGCATGACGCTTATTCCACCAGTCTCAAAGACCTACTTAGTCAGTTCTTGTTGTTTTGACTATCCAAGTGAAATGCGTTTTACTTTTAACACTGAAAGATGCTGCTGTGACTGTGCTAGAGATAACAAACAGGTTTCTACCATGGCAGCCACGTTCCAGGGTAGGGGAAAGTTTGCTTCTTGAACTTGACACATGCATTCTTGTCAGAGCATGGACTGGAACAAGCCTGACCAAACCTGTTAACTTACTGCAGAGCTTCTGGATGCACTGGTTGCTCAGAATGGAAATCTATACAATAGGAACAGAATTTGTTCATTTTTAACTTTTTTTTTTCCTCTGCAAGTAAGGCTTATGGAGTCAACACTACAGGTTAGGGTGGAAGCGAGTGTCTGTGTATCTCTAATGACTTTGTACTTAAGCAGATTTGACAGATGACTTGGAGGTAATGAAGTCACTGTCACCCAGGTTATGGCCAGAATCCTCCTTTAATAGCAAGAACCTGATGAGGTACAGAGCTATGTCATTTTATATCTTTTTAGCTCTTTAACAGATGCTTTTTAATTTTTCTTCTTTAACTTGTTTTATTTGTGCTTTTATTTAACCATTAACTGTATCTCCTCAAATTATTTTTGTCTGGTTTTTGACTTTGACTTGAGAAAGAATAAAAACCTGTCTTTTGCAGCACGGGTAATTAACATGCAAGCACAGCTTATAAGAAATACTGTTGTGTATCTTTTTGTTTCTGACTGTAGTAAACTGCTTTTGCCCTCTTACCAAAAGAAACAACTGCAACAAGGTTAATATAACCTATTCTGAAAACTCTCAGATTACTGTGTAGCTTTGTTCTACAGCAAATGAGAATAGCTCTTGTATCTGGAGATGGGCATTGCACAACACATACGAAGGATTGTGAAAATGCTGTGATGTTACGATTCTTTGTAGTTTGGCCACACTGTCTTTCCTCTCTCTTTGTTTTTTTTTTCCTAGCTCCCCGTTATAGATAAGATCAGGCATATTGCACAGCAGATCTATGGGGCAAGAGACATTGAGCTACTTCCAGAAGCACAGGAGAAAGTCGCCTTGTACACTAAGCAAGTGAGTTTTCCATGTCACCTGATAACAGTGGTGCTTTTCCTTTGAGGTGGTCATGTTGAAAAGTGGTATTCAAACTGTGTGTGAAGGGAATCATGACTCAAATCATCTTCTTGTCCAGCACTCATTGGATGCTGCTATGGCAGAGGAGGAAAAGGAGGTGGTATGGGGAGGGAGAAACTGGCCCCAGCTTCTAGTGGAGAAGACAGAACTCATCTGGCCCAGTAGCACATCTATGATAGTGTATGGGGAGAGAAGAGCAGGAGGATTCAGTGATCTTTCTCTACTGTATTCTCCAATTCTTCAGCAATCTGGGAATTGGGGAACTACAAGTGGTCAGACTGGTGCTAAATAGTCTCTGATGACTTTTTTTTTTTAATCTTATTCCACTGAGTTGTCTAATCAGGTTTTGAACCCATATGGATTTTTGGCAGTCGCAGTTATGTTGGGGAAAGAGTTCCATAGGTGACACAATACTTCTTGTGGAAAAAAACCATCTACTTTTACAAGTTTTGGATCTGGCATCTGGTTGTTGAATTAAATGCTTTCTGGTTGTTGTGTTGCTTTTATTCTTCTCTAGCATGACGTTCTTGTGAATTTACCTGCTACTGCATTGATGAAGGTCTGTAAAGGGCTTTGAAGAGAAGAGCAATGTGACAACTAGCCATTCTTTGTTTACAGTGTGCTCAAATAATTTTGCTTTTACAGTTCATTTACTACAGGCATGTATAGTTTCTCATTTTCATGTTTCTTGTATATTCTTTTACAAGTCTGTCAAAAATACCGTAGCGACGTAATTGCTACTTCATCACGACCTGCAATTATATTGATCAAACATTTCTAATTAACTGACCTCGGCTGAACAAGAACTTTAGTTCTGAGTCATTTAAATTAACGTTTCGGAAAGAGAGTAGAAAGTAAGTTAGCTATCAAGGTTGTATGTCTAACACTTCCCTACTATTAACTTTTTCCTGAGCTGGATGTGCTGGGGGCCATGGTAATTCTTTCTTTAATGCTTAGAGATGGCATGGAAAGAGTTTGAGAGAGAAGGAATGGGGATGCAGAATGGTCAATGGATCTGACAGGCTGTGGATGAAGCAGCTGGTGAGGAGTAAAATGTCATAATAAAATGTCTGTTGTCTGTAGAGAGTGGCAGAATAGAGCAATTACATTTGTGTACATGAAAAGTTACTGTTTTTTCACTTATTTCTCTCCTATTTCTCTCTTCATTGCCTTCCCCAGGGATTTGGAAACCTGCCAATCTGCATGGCTAAAACTCACTTATCGTTGTCTCATGACCCTGAACAAAAAGGAGCACCTACGGGTTTTATTCTGCCGATCCGAGACATTCGGGCCAGTGTTGGTGCTGGATTCCTGTATCCGCTAGTAGGAACGGTACGTGATTGAGTGAAGCCCTCAATTGTGAGGGAAGGAAAAAAACTTCATGCATATTCCAGTAAGCAGTTACAAAAGGTATCTTTAATTAGGAGAGCTCTTGTCAATTACAGTTGGTGTTTTAACAGTCCAGTGTATTAGATGCCCTTAATGGTGGGGTTTTTTTTCGGGGGAAGAGCGAAGCTAAAATAGACCATCTGACCATTTGAATACTTAGCAAGCCCCACAGTGTACTCCTTAGGTCCCAGATCTGTCTTCCTGGTTTTTGGGGAAAGAGTGAGCTCTGTAGCTGATGAATTGTGGGAACTGCAGTCTGGTAGATGGGATGAGTGAAATCTTTGGCCCACCTAATTGCCCTTATGACTTTGCATTCCTGATGAAAGCACTTTGCAGTATTGCAGGTGAAGTCTGTGTACACCTGCAGGTCAGGGTAGAACAAGACAACTCCTCCAAAGCTTACAAAGCAAACAACTTTTAATGAGACATCTCCAAAGTGAAGCTGACCTGTACTATTAATTGTTTGTCAGTCTCCCCTCAGATGGTTTTGCTGACCATCTGTTTGCTGTTCAGCCTGCATCAGTTCCAACAATTCATTTCACTATACCCTTGAGTTTTTAATTTCTGTTCTTTGACGTGACTGGCATAATGTCAGCTGAGAGGAGAGAGAGTAGCTGCAATGGAAACAGGACCCTGGAATAGCTTTGAAGGGAATTGCCTGGCAGAAAGAGGAGCTACCTGCAAAATGAACTAACATTCAGGTCTGCATCCAAAGAAAGAATGTTAGGGTGAAACGATCCACTGGAAATCTTATCTGGGGAATCTCTTCTGGGAAGATGTTAAGTAACTTGTTAGGTTCTTTAAGGGGATGGAGCAGTTGGAGTCAGCAGCTCTGTCTTTCTCTTATTTTGGGGGCCTGAATGTTTTTCTGAAGTCTTCATGGCAACGTGTTTGTTTTAAGAAGCTTTCAAAAGCATTAGGGGTGCATGGCTCAGAGGATGAAACTTGCTAATTTAAGAGTTGGAGCCCTTCTTTATTCAAATGCTAGCTAGAGTCAAATATTAGATATCTTTTTCTTTTAATTCTTAAAAAAAAAAAAAAGGTAGGTATGGGTTTCCAGATTACCCAACATAAGTAAAATAACCACATCCTGATTAAAGTCTGGCTCATCCATCTTTTTAAAGAGTAATGTGTGTTTTGGGATAGAATGAAAGATAGCATACTTGTTCCTGTTATTAATGGCATTTTCTTACAAGCCAAGATTTAATCCAAACAATGATTTATTTTATTTTTTTTATAAGCACTGCAGAAGGAAGGGGTACACAGCATTAATGAGCTACACAAAAGAAAGATGTTTTCAGACATTAAAACTAACATTTTGGCTCTTTTTTGGATGTCTTCAGTTTCTGTAAAGTTGGACTGTTTCCTTTCTGCTCCCTTCCCACATTCCTAGTGTTTTCTTGGACATGTAGTAAACCATGGTGTTGATTCTGCCAGAATTAACAGTAAGTCTTCTGGTTAGGGACATGAAGATTGCTCCTGTGGTGTCCACAAAGCCAGGGAAGGGTTGTCCTTTTGAGAA